TTTTCGTTAGCCCCCATAAAATGGTACCTCCCGATATTCGGTATTTTCATGATTTTAGCGACAGTATTTACGGAAATTATTTCAAATTTCATATTTAAAGTTCGTAATGGGTGCTACAGGCTATGAAACAAAATTGTGTATGCAGATCCACGTTTTCTCCATAACGGTACCTACCGATATTCGGTTTCATTATGATTTCAGCGACATTATTTACCGGTATTATTTCAAATTTCGTATTTGAATTTCGTAATGGGTACTACAGCCTATGACAAACATTTTTGTATGCAGGTCTACTTCTTCATATAGCCCCCATATAACAGTACCTCCCGATATTCGGTATTTTGGCGATTTCAGTAACATTAATAACCGGAATCGTATCAAATTTCGTATTGGGAGATCTTAATGGTTACTAAACCAATGGAAAAAATTTCGTATGCACGTCCACGTCTTGGTACAGCCCCTATATAATGGTATATCCCGAAATTCGGTATTTTCATGATTTTAGCCACATTATTTACCGAACTTATTTCAAATTTCGTATTTGAAGTTCCTAATGGGTGCTACCGCCTATGACAAAAATGTTTGTATGCAGATCCACGTCTTCGTAAGCCCCCATATGACGGTACCTCCCAATACTCGATATTTTTATGAGTTGTGCGACATAATTCACCGGAATTGTAACGAATTTCGTACTACAGCGTACGACAAAAAAATCGTATGTAGGTTCACGTTTTCGCATATATTCCATATAACGATACATCCCGATATCCGGTATTTTGATGATTTTAGCGACATTATTCACCGAAATTGTTTCTAATTAGGTATATATTGAAATATATTTAGTTTAAAGAAAATCGCTAACTTGTTTCGCACGCTATAAGGCGGTAAAAAAAGGAGTGGTCCGATATATTCCACATTTAAATCAAATCTTGTATTGAGATAACTACTGGAATGTGCCGAGTTTGAATGGAATCGGATGCTTATTTCCGATTCTATGAGTTTCATGGTTATTCAAAATTTTCAGCCGTTGTGTGGGAGGTACCAGAAGAAGTGGGCTGATATCTACCATCTTTACATCAGATCTTGTATTAGTAGAAATATTGGAATGAGTGTAGTTTAGAATGAATCGAATGCTTATTTCGCATTTTAAAAGAGATATTCTGACACGTTGTGAGGGATGTACCTGAAGGAGTAGTCCGACATATTCCGTCTTCACGCCTGAGCATGTGTTGGTGGAAATATTTGGATGTGGGATATTTGAAGACAATCGGACGCTTATTTCATATTTTACAAGAGTTATGATTATTCAAAATTTTGACCCTTTATGGGAAAGATACTCGATAGTGTGGATCGTTATTGTCCATTTTCGCACCCGAACTGATAAAATATTAGTATTTTCAAAATTTGCACAAAATTGGAAGATATTTTCACGTTTCATGTGGCTATATGGCCAGTTATACCCTCAGCCATATGGCATTTGATACGCCCAAAACGCGCCTCATCGAAATAACGGTTTTAGACCCTAGACCAAATCCGTATCAGGACATTTAAAGTCGATCTAGCGATGTACGTCCATCTGTCTGTCTGGCTAGTGCGCACGACAACTCTCGAAGGGAGTATACGATTCGGACCAAACTTGATACATCGTAATATTATTTTGAACTTAGGTAGAGTGTGGAGAAGGGAAACATCGGTACACTTCTCCTGGCACCTCCCCCACAAACGGTCAGAATTTCCAAAGACAATAATTTACCTCATGGAGACTGAAATAACTTTTAAATTTCGTGAAACACCCAATATTTTTATCAGTCCTAGGTCGGGTGCGAAAATATCAGTCCACTCAAAGGTTCAAAATTTGGAATAATTTTTACTTCTATAAAATGTGAAATTAGAGTCCGATCGTCTTTAAGTTGGATACATCCAAATATATTTTTATTAACACCAGACCTAGTGTGAAGAGGATATATCGGTCCACTCCGATTTTCTACAACATTGCACAACCCAATAAAAAGTCAAACGCCAAAATTTTTAATTTTTTTTATCTTATTGAATGAAAGCAAAAAGTGGGAAATAGCATCAAATTTTTACAATAAGTTTAGATTTATTCGAATTGGTCACCTTTAGCACGAACTATGGCCTTCAAACGGCCAAAGAAATCGTAACACGCTGCCCGAATGTTGCTCTGCAGCATTTTGGCCTATTCCCGGTGAAGCGCTTGCTTGAGGTGACAGACATTTTGGTATTTTTTAGTGACAACCTAACGTTCCAAAATACTCCTGACACAATACTCCAACGGATTGGTATCCTGTGATTTTGGTGGTCATTGTGCGCTGGAAATTAAGCGAGAAACCTCATTTTGTAATCTGGGGTGGCGCATGCTGAGTGCGATGGTGTTAAGTCCTGTTGGAATGTCCAAGGTCTGCGGCCAAAATTTTTGCTTTCCCAAGGCTTTAATACACCCTCAAGAATATTTTCGCGATAATATTCGGCATTTATTCTGATGCCACGGTCGATTAATACAAGCAGAGATCGACCATCGGCTGTTATGACAGCCCACACTATCACCATGGCCGACGCTTGAGTTCTGGTGGCCAACCGATGGTGCACATTTTCAGCTGACCTCTTTGGCAAGTAAACACTATCATTTTCTTTGTTTACAAACTGCTGGACAACGAATGTTTTCTCATCGGACCATCGGAAATCCAAATGCGGCAGTTCACCACTTTCGGCCAAGCAAAGCAACTCTTTAGCTTTTTGGAGTCTATTTTCTTTCTATTGCGGAGTAAGTTCTTGCACTTTTTGGAATTTCAATGGCTTTACCCCGAGCTCATTTTTCAATATTTGCTGATTGGAATATTGGGGTATGTTCAGCTCACGAGCCATTTTTCGGACACTGCGCTTTTCTACTTTTCGAACTATTTCTGCTGATGTTGAGGTTTTCTTCCGTCCACTTCCTTGACGTCGGGCTACGCTACCAGTATCACAGTATCACTAACGAGCGATGGTACTAGACACAAAAGATTTATTCACATTTAAATGCTGGATTGCTCTAACGATAGCCACTTGTGGTTTTCCAGCCAAATATAAAGAAATCACACTATCACGCTTGAATTCCATCACGAATAATTTTTTTTCTGGAAGATTCTCACCAAAATGCATTTGTACGCATGTAAACAATATAATGAGTTGTCACTGGAATAATTTTAACAGCTGTCGGGCGAGTGGCTTAGAAATGACAGCAGTCTGAATTTTGTTGCAGTTGTTTCATCGCACCCTGTATTTCGGTCCACATATTTCATATAAAGTACAGGAAGTGGTCCATATAGGCAGAATCTCGCAGATTGTAATATTTATATTTATCAGACTTAGATCAGATACGAAATGGATAATACTGGCCAACTCTTCGGAACCGCCCCCATAAAGGGTTAATAGCATGACATACCCTAAAGCAAGTCAATATATATGTAAACAAACAGATATTAGCTGGGGGTATGAATTTATCGGCGTAACTGATTGATATTTTTATACCCTAAACCACATAGTGCTAAGGGTATTATGTCTTTGTGTATTTGTTTTTGCATGGTTTTTGCAATATTTGTTTGACCCAAGGAGGAACCCTACTGAAACTGGTGAGAATTGGTTCAAATTTAGATATAGCTCCCATAAATATCTTCAACCGATTTCGGGTTATAGTGCACCAAATAACCAATATCAGTCCAAAATGACCTGAAGTTTGGCACATCTAACCAAATCCAGTCTAGAAGCAAGTACATCAAATTTCAAGAACATCGATTTAGATATAGCTATAGCTACCCTATATATGTTTTATTCAATTTGGGGTTTTAAGCCGCTCACATGCGTAATATGCACTCCACAAGATGATGATACCGGATACCGGATATCAGATACTGCTCGACATCAGATTAGGATATAGCTACCAGATATATATTTATCCGATATCAGGTTTATTGTGCACCAAATGGCTAATATCAGCCCAAATGGACGGAATTTCGGTACATAAGACTGAATTCATCCTAGAAACCAGTATTCAAATTTCGTGTAAATCGGTTCAGATATAGCTACAGCTCCCATATATATGTTTTATCCGATTTGGGGTTTAAAGTCCCTCACAAGCGTAATATGCATTCCACAACAATGAAATTTGGTACCAGATATCAAATTTAGCCCAAAAGTAGCTCTGTCAAATTTTTGTCAAGATCTGTTCAGATTTGGATATTACTCCTGTATATATCTTCAATCGATTTCGGATTAATTGTGCACCAAATAACCAAATCCAGTCTAGAAGCAAGTACATAAAATGTGTCCCTCACTTAATATGCACTCCACAAGAATGTTATTTGGTACCATATAACTGTCACATCTTATCGAGATCGGATCAGCTCACATTTATATATCTTTGTCCGATATTAGGTTTATTGTGGACGAAATGCCTAATATCAGCCCAAATTGACTAAAATACGACAATTCCGACTGATTTCATCCTTGAAACAAGCTCTTCAAATTTAGTGAAAATCGGTTCAAATATAGCTATAGCTCCCATATATATGTTTCATCCGATTTGGGGTCCCTCAGATATTAAGTTCCTCAGATACAGCTCTGAAATAATTGTTTAAACTTTTGTCAAGATTGGTTCAGATTTGAATATAGCTCACATATATATCTTTATCCGATTTCAGACTTTGTGTGCACCAAATGGCTAATAAGGCCTAAATTTTGGCACATCCGTCGGAATTTAGCCTAAAAGCAAGTGCTTCAAATTTTGGTGAAAATCGGTTCAGATTTTTGGTGTTAAAGACTCTCACATGAAGTCTCACCACAAAAATGATATTTGATACCGCGCATCAGATACTGCTCGAAATTCATTATATATTAAGAAAATATTTAGCCCACGCATGATTATAATCAAATCACGAAATAAAGAACGAAATTTAGGTGTCTATTCCCGTTAAAAGCTCTATAAATAAATTATTTTTTCTTAGATAACTGCCACGGTGTTGTCTCTGGTTATGGACTTTTTGCGTGCACTTTTTGTACGTTACGTAAATCGTAACTGGTGCTGGGATATGGAAAAGACATTTCCGCAGGTATGTTATATTGCATAAGTTTTATTGATAATGAAAATATTCCGTATTCAATTTTCCACAGTATGGCGATTTTAAAATAGCCGAAAATATTCTGGGTTTAATTAACAATCAAGGTCAGGTGTGGATGGGTATATTCTTTTCGCCTGGTCTCGTGATTATTAATCTCGTAAAATTGGTGATAATGATGTACTTCAGATCGTGGATTGTTTTAACATGTAATGTGCCACATGAGGTTGTATTCAAGTAAGTTATCGGAAAAAAGTTATCTCGAACTTATTATCCGCAAAACTGGGAATTCGAAACTGTTATAAATTTATATTTTTTATTCCAGGGCTTCCAAATCCAACAATTTCTATCTTTCCCTGCTGTTAACAATGTTGTTTCTTTGTGTGTTGCCTGTGGCATATGCCATAGTTTGGCTGCGTCCTTCATGGCATTGTGGACCCTATTCGGCCTATAATACAACCTCGGAATATATTACAACAATAACCCTGAAAGCACTGCCAGAGTATGTATTCACTATTTCATCACTGGACATTTCTCTCTAATATATTTCTTCCCATGATTTTAAATATCCAACAGGGATTTACACAAACCACTTCGTTATATGGCATCGGCAAGTACCGTAATTCCCCTGTTACTTCTGTTGATTTTGATAATTTACTATTTGGTTTCGCTGACGGGCGCCTTACGTGAAGCCAACCAGGACTTAAAGACTCAATTGCAAAAGGAACGAGAGGAAGAACGCAAGAAAATTTTCCAAGTTCCAGAAATAAAACCGGCCGAGAATAGCACCACAACCATGAGTAATAGATGGCGCAAAGTATTGGAAGCTTCATCACCTGTTTCACCAACCACACAGCCTGATTTTGAAAGTGAAGAATATAAGACTCAGGCAAGAAAAGGTAATTTAAATTTGAAGAATCTTAAATATATACGAATATAAACTGGCTTCATTTTTTTAAAATGCCACAAAATTATTTATAGCGGAACCTCCACCAGTTGTGAGAATATTTAGGCCAAAGTAAATTACACTATCATGTGGTACAATATATGTGTTTAACTATCGATACTTTAAAGGATAATTTAGATATGTTACCAACGCAACGGCAAAATAATGGGGAACCCTCCCAATAATTTTGAGGTGACAATTTACATATAACACTGTGCGACAAAATGCAATTATTACAGGGAAAATCCAGCATATTATGAAAGTAGAGCTAAAAAACAAGATACGTGTTTCGGAGTTTTTAAAGTAATTTCCTCCTTTCATATTTTTTAAAATTGTCGGATTATGATTCCGTGAAGTCCGTTAAGTTTGGTATTTTTGGTTCTTTTAAAAATATGGTTATACGGAATCGTAGCATTTGTCATAAAATTCTACTGTCTAAAACTACCCTAATGAATTCATATATAAAAAAATAAGTAAAAAAGCTGTAAGTTCGGGGGAACTTTGAATACCCTCCACTATTTGGGACGAATTTGGCAATTCTCAAATACAATAAAATCCGTTAAAAAATTCTGTTAAAATCTTAAAAATACCAAATGTAGCTGTTATATTAGAGTCTATATGACGACATGGACCTGCATAGGTAACATTTGTCATAAGCCATTACAATATTCAAATGCGAAACTTAAAAAAGAAATTGGTAATAATGTATCTAAAATCATCCAAATACCGAATATCGGGAGGTACCGTTATATGGGGGCTCTACGAAGACGTCGACCTGCACAAACAATTTTATGTCTTCGGCTGCAGTATCCATTACGAACTTCAAATACCAACTTTGAAACAATTCCGGTGAATAATGTTTCCAAAATCATCAAAATACCGAATATCGGGAGGTATCGTTATATGGGGCTATACAAAGACGTGGACCTGCACAGAAAATTTTCTGGTATAGGCTGTAGTATCTATTACGAACTTCAAATACGAAATTTGAAACAATTCCGGTGAATAATATCGCTAACATCATCAAAATACCGAATATCGGGAGGTCCCGTTATATGGGGCCTATACGAAGACCTGCACAGATAAGTTTGTCTTAGGCTGTAGCATCCATTTCGAACTTTAAATACCAAATTTTAAACAATTTCGTTGAATAATGTCGCTAAAATTATGAAAATAGAGAATATCGTGAGGTACCGTTATATGGGGGCTATACGAAGACCTGCACAGACAATTTTATGTTTTAGGCTGTAGCATCCATTTCGAACTTTAAATACCAAATTTAAATCAATTTTGTTGCACAATGTCGCTAAAATCATCAAAATACCGAATATCGGGAAGTACGGTAATATGGGGGCTATACGAAGACGTGTACCTGTACAGAAAATTTTCTGTCCTGGGCTGTAGTATCTATTACGAACTTTAAATACCAAATTTGAAACAATTCCGTTGAATTATGTCGCTATAATCATCAAAATACCGAATATCGTGAGGTACCGTTATATGGGGGCTATACGAAGACGTGGACCTACATGGCCCATTTTCAATACCAAAAGCAGACATAATACACATTTGAGTAAAATTTTATTAATCTACTTCAATTCGTTTGGAAGCTAGAGTGATTTACACAAACGGACAGACGGATAAACGGACGGACATCGCTAAATTGACATAGCATTTATTTCGAGATTTTACAAACGGAATCACAAACTTAATATACCCTCCATACTATGGTGGAGGGTAAAAAAATGGTACGTTTATACTACACCCCATCAGCGATACTCATTCAATTTACAGAATTCCTGCCCAATTCAATGAATTACAGTTCGAATTTCTAAAAACCAAGGCTTATGTCACCTCTTCATACCAACATAAAACGACGTGCAAAATTCTAGGCCCATTATAATTTCTATTTAATACCAACAAAAATGTCACATTTTGATACAGACCTTGTATAAAGATATCCCTGGTTCTAGTAATTGCTGGGGAAGAAAAACTTTGGACAGAAGGTGTTTAATATATGTATATATTTCGAAATACCCCTTATTTGACGGCACACCCGAAGTTCACGTTCCCAACCGATTTGGTATGGTGTAACAAATTCTATGTAGACTTGTTGGTATTATGCCAGAAAAGCATAACTTCAAAAGGATTTCCATTTCCCAGTTTCATTTTTATTTTATCGTCCTTAATAAATATAAGGCTATATATTATGCTCTGCCACGATCATTGTCTTGAGACAATTGTGGGTGCTGACTTTGTTATATACATCTGGGAACTTTAAAATCAAATAAACTGACCTCATATATCCCACTTTTTTTCTCATCCAAAATTATTCAAATTTTTTTCGACATTTGTTTCATAATTATTTTTTTTTATTTTTTCTCTCTTTCAAGAATTAATTTCACGCATTATGAAGAAGGCATTACGCAAAGACTCCGCCACATCGGATGAGGAAACGTTTGCCCGACAGCATGGTCGTGACGATGACACCGATACCGAACACCACGACTCTTTGCCCCACGACGAAGATGGCAACGAACGACGTCCACGTTTATCTAAACTTCAAGAAATACGAAAAACACGAAAACCTTCCCTCGTGGATATTGTTCAGATTGCGAATAGCGAACGAGAGCGGGTCAGATCGCTGAGAAAACAAGCAATGGGAAGTGGTGGCAAGGGAAAAACTAGAAATGAGAAGAAATCGGAAGAGAACGAGCAAGATAACAACAATAAGGAGAAAGAAGCTATGGATAATGGAAACGATCCGGAAATTAAGACAAGAATCATAAATGAGAGGCGACAAAGTTTATTGCGCAAAAAGAAGGAAGATGAGGCTTATGGAAGAAATAGAGATAAGAATGAAGACGAAGTGGGGGAAAAACACAACCAAAATGAGAATGACTTAAATGACAAGAACGCAGATAAAACTAAAGAACACGAAGAACACAATGAAACAAGTAAACGCAAAAAGAGAAATGATGGGAGCAACGAAAAAGAATGTCATAAAATAAAAGATAAAGCTAATGGTGATGGCAAGGATCAAAGGAAACATAAAAACAAAGATAGTCCCAATAATGTAGGGGAACATGAAAATGATGGCCACAAAGACCAATTAAAGGAAGACGCACCAAGGAATAAAGAAAAAGAACATCTACTAGAAAAGGATAACAACGAGGAGAAGAAAAACAGAAATGGCAAGGAAAGAAATTACCAACAAAATCAAGATGACCATGAGCCATCAAAAGATAATGGAAAGGGAAGAGAGAAACCAAAGGTAATGGGAAAAGAGAAACAAAAAACCAAAGACAAAAAGTCTGACAATGAGAAAAGTCCAGATGAGCCCAAAATAGAATCTCCAAAAAAGGAAGAACACTTAAGGAACAAACCCAAAGAACAAGCCAAAGATAAGGATAGAGAAAAGGATCAAACAAACGATGTCCATATAATGCCAGAAAAAGGGCATGAAAAAGAAAAGGACAAAGAAAAATCCAAAGAAATAAAACAAAGAATTTACGAAAGTTTTCGTCGCAAGAAACGCGACAACAAAGAGAAAACAGTAACTCCAAAACAAAGTTCTCTTGAGAAAACCAGCGAAGAAGATATCAATGAGGAAACAGAACCGACAAACGACAACAAAAAGAAATCTCAAGCCAAAAAGGATAAAAAACTTAATTCACCACTTAACGACGAAGAGCCATTGTCCTACAAAATCGTAGATGAGAAGTCACCCAAATTACACGACGACAAGCAATCAACGCCGCCCATGTTGGAACACCTACACAACCTTGGAGGTAAATTGAAATTCAAACGTCATAAGACAAAACCTTCCACTGAACCAGAAGTATTCAAATTTGATGCAGAGAAACTAAACAAGGATGCAGATATTGCCACCACTCCAACGTGGCAACATTTGGAAGCGGAATTGCAATCGCCACGACCTGTCGAAGATGTTTCCACACCAACAACAAATAAACATCACTTGGGATCCGACAAATTTGCCAATCTCTCCAGACAGAGTCGTAAAAAGATTGGTTCCTTTTTGAATCTAATGAAAGATGCCGTTAGTCGACCTGAACAAGAACAACATTCCGATACCGCCATAGAAATACCTTCAACGCCAACACTTGAAGTTTCATCGGCAATCAATCAAGCCATCATGCTTCCCGTAGCTATGCACACTGCAACGCCCACAACGCATGCCATAGAACCTAGCACAGCACAAATTGCACCCATTAATCCCTCCACCAACCCGACCACCATTGATAGTATTCAACCGTATATTATGCCACGAGCACCCCTAGAAATGGCCGAAGATATCGATCCACCAAGTTACAGCAATTTAATGATGTCTGCCAATGAGACGCACATCATCGCCACAAAAGATCCCGAAGAATTGGATAAACCCGGTCCGATAATATTTCAACAACGGGCTATTTCTCAGCGTCGACGCCCAATTCGTCAAGACTCTCAATCGTCCAATTGGTCAGCCGAGAATATTCCAACAATTACCATAAGTACTACACCCGAAACGGACGAACAATCCACAACGCCAACAGTGCCTACAACACCGCGACCTGACCCCAAAGTTAATGTCATAAAAATCAATATTGAACACGAAATGTAGAATGGAATTTGAAATTACGAGAAGAGTGCCTTTCATTTCCTCATTTTTCAAATGTGAGTTCGTTAATGTGGTGAAATTCCTAACCTGATTGTATACCGTTGATAGCAAATTAATTGAAATAAAATTGATTGAAATCAAAAAAAAATGTTTGTTTGAAATTTATTTTTGGAGGTAAAGATAATAAAAATTTTTGACGATATAGATGAACTTTTACATTATTTTTAAAATTCTTTGTAACACAATGTGGTTGGGATTGAGTGAGTTCTCAGGCGAAACTTTTAATATCCGACACCACACTGGTACAGGTTATTTTGCCTGTTTGCAGGCATAATTATATGTATTGTTTGCAACATGCCGAAAGAAGCGAAATTGACCCGTAGTTCCTTTTGACGATCTTAATAGAATCACATTCTGAATCGATTTATGCATGTTCGCCCGTATGTCCACGTATTTTTGTACACAAATTACACGTCGCATTTATTGTCTGATTGAGATGAAATTTTCCACAAATCACTTGTTTGGGCCAAGGACGAACCCTATTGAAATTTGTGATAATAGGATCAGATTTGGATATAGCTCCTATATATAGTGTCGTCCGATTTTATAAGTATTGTACATGAAATGCGTAATATCAGTTCGAATACAATAAATTTTAGTACACACGGTCATGTTCAGTCCAGAAGTATGTTTGCAAATTTGGGTGAATATCGGCTCAGATTTGGATATAGTTCCTATTTATAAAAATTCATTCGATTTCAATTTTATTGTGCGTCATATGTATAATATTTGTCCAATTGGAATGGATTTCTGCACATTTGATCGAATTCAGCCTAGAACCAAATACTTAAAATTTTGTGAAAATCGGTTCTGAAATAGCTTTAGCTCCCATATATATTATCCGATTCGGTGATTAAGTCCCCTACATTCGTAATATGCACTTCACAAAAATGATACTTGGTGCCATGGCAAAATAAAGGAAGGTAGAACAAAGCTAACCCCTAAGCACAATTTTTTTTTTGGTGCCCTTATTCTGTCATAACATAAACACATTTTGTGTAAGTGCGTGCATTGTTTTGAATCAGAGATGGGCATAATGCACTGTATTTTTTATGCACTAATCATTTCACTATCACTGTTCATTTAGTGGTAGTGCAATTTTTAATTCCACTACCACTAAAGGGTTAGTGGTAGTGAAAAATAAATTGCACTACCACTAACCCTTTAGTGGTAGTGGAATTAAAAATTGCACTACCACTAAATTTTAGTGGTAGTGAAATTTCAATAGCACTACCACTAAATTTAGTGGTATTTAAAAAAACTTGCACTAAATTAGTGGTATTTCATAAAAAATAGCACTAAATTAGTGCTATTTAGAAAAGTAATCAAATTTTATTAATATGTACTATATATTCTGGATTGTTGTTCCCTACTCACTTCAATAAACTTCATTATACCTGGTATAATACTTATATACATAGTGATTTTTTTGGTTTCGCTAAAATTTAGTGGTAGTGCAAATTTTTTTTGAAAAATCACTAAATTTAGTGATAGTGCTATTAAAATTTCACTACCACTAAAATTTAGTGGTAGTGCAATTTTTTTTTAAATATCACTAAAGGGTTAGTGGTAGTGCAATTTATTTTTCACTACCACTAACCCTTTAGTGGTAGTGGAATTAAAAATTGCACTACCACTAATTATTTAATTCTTAGTGCACTAAAAATTTAGTGCAATATGAACAACCCTGTTTTGAATAAAAAATACAATAATTTGAAATTATTTCAAATCATCGCTCGTTACCGTTACGCCGAAAAATCAATATTAAGGGAGTTATGGTCATTGTGAAATATGCAATAATTCATGCTTAAGAAAGTGATCACAAATAATAGCTAAAATCGCCGAAAACTCAATATTTAAAGAGTTATGGCCATTATAAAATATGTAATAATTCATGCCTAAGAAAGTGATTACAAATAATAGCTAAAATCGCCGAAAACTCAATATTTAAAGAGTTATGGCCATTTTAAAATATGTAATAATTCATGCCTAAGAAAGTGATCACAAATTATAGATAAAAACGCCGAAAACTCAATATTTAAGGAGTTATGGCCATTTTAAAATACTTTATAACTCATGCCTAAGAAAGTGATCACAAATAATAGCTAAAAACACCGAAAACTCAATATTTAAGGAGTTAAGGCCATTTTAGTAATAATTCATGCCTAAGAAAGTGATCACAAATAATAGCTAAAAACGCCGAAAACTCAATATTTAAAATACTTTATAACTCATGCCTAAGAAAGTGATCACAAATAATAGCTAAAAACACCGAAAACTCAATATTTAAGGAGTTAAGGCCATTTTAGTAATAATTCATGCCTAAGAAAGTGATCACAAATAATAGCTAAAAACGCCGAAAACTCAATATTTATGGAGTTAAGGCCATTTTAAAATATGTAATAATTCATGCCTAAGAAAGTGATCACAAATTATAGATAAAAACGCCGAAAACTCAATATTTAAGGAGTTATGGCCATTTTAAAATACTTTATAACTCATGCCTAAGAAAGTGATCACAAATAATAGCTAAAAACACCGAAAACTCAATATTTAAGGAGTTAAGGCCATTTTAGTAATAATTCATGCCTAAGAAAGTGATCACAAATAATAGCTAAAAACGCCGAAAACTCAATATTTATGGAGTTAAGGCCATTTTAAAATATGTAATAATTCATGGCTAAGAAAGTGATCCCAAATAATAGCTAAAAACGCCGAAAACTCAATATTTAAGGAGTTAAGGCCATTTTAAAATATGTAATAATTCATGGCTAAGAAAGTGATCCCAAATAATAGCTAAAAAACGCCGAAAACTCAATATTTAAGGAATTATGGCCATTTTAAAATATGAACTAATTCATGCCTAAGAAAGTGATCACAAATAATAGCTAAAAACGCCGAAAACTCAATATTTAAGGAATTATGGCCATTTTAAAATATGTAATAATTCATGCCTAAGAAAGTGATCACAAATAATAGCTAAAAACGCCGAAAACTCAATATTTAAGGAGTTATGACCATTTTAAGATATGAACTAATTCATGCCTACGAAAGTGATCACAAATAATAGCTAAAAACGCCGAAAACTCAATATTTAAGGAGTTATGGCCATTTTAAGATATGAACTAATTCATGCCTACGAAAGTGATCACAAATAATAGCTAAAAACACCGAAAACTCAATATTTAAGGAATTATGACCATTTTAAGATATGAACTAACCATGCCTAAGAAAGTGATCACAAATAATAACTAAAACGCCGAAAACTCAATATTTAAGGAGTTATGGCCATTTTAAGATATGAACTAATCATGGCTAAGAAAGTGATCACAAATAATAGCTAAAAACGCCGAAAACTCAATATTTAAGGAGTTATGGCCATTTTAAAATTTGAACTAATTCAAGCCTAAGAAAATGATCACAAATAATAGCTAAAAACGCCGAAAACTCAATATTTACGGAGTTATGGTCATTTTAAAATTTGAACTAATTCAAGCCTAAGAAAATGATCACAAATAATAGCTAAAAACGCCGAAAACTCAATATTTAAGGAGTTAAGGCCATTTTAAAATTTGAACTAATTCATGCCTAATAAAGTGATCACAAATAATAGCTAAAAACGCCGAAAACTCAATATTTAAGGAGTTATGGCCATTTTAAAATATATAATAATTCATGCCTAAGAAAGTGATCACAAATAATAGCTAAAAACGCCGAAAACTCAATATTTAAGGAATTATGGCCATTTTAAAATATGTAATAATTCATGCCTAAGAAAGTGATCACAAATAATAGCTAAAAACGCCGAAAACTCAATATTTAAGGAGTTATGACCATTTTAAGATATGAACTAATTCATGCCTACGAAAGTGATCACAAATAATAGCTAAAAACGCCGAAAACTCAATATTTAAGGAGTTATGGCCATTTTAAAATATGAACTAATTCATGCCTAAGAAAGTGATCACAAATAATAGCTAAATTGTCGAAAACTCAATATTTAAGGAGTTATGGCCATTTTAAAATATGAACTAATTCATGCCTAAGAAAGTGATCACAAATAATAGCTAAATTGTCGAAAACTCAATATTTAAGGAGTTATGGCCATTTTAAAACATGAACCAATTCATGCCTAAGAAGTGATCACAAATAATAGCTAAAAACACCGAAAACTCAATATTTAAGGAGTTATGGCCATTTTAAAATATGAACTAATTCATGCCTAAGAAAGTGATCACAAATAATAGCTAGAAACGCCGAAAACTCAATATTTAAGGAGTTATGGCCATTTTAAAATATGAAGTAATTCATGTCTAAGAAAGTGATCACAAATAATAGCTAAAAACGCCGAAAACTCAATATTTAAGGAGTTATGGCCATTTTAAAATATGAACTAATTCATGCCTAAGAAAGTGATCACAAAAAATAGCTAAAAACGCCGAAAACTCAATATTTAAGGAGTTTTGGCCATTTTAAAATATGTAATAATTCATGCCTAAGAAAGTGATCACAAATAATAGCTAAAAACGCCGAAAACTCAATATTTAAGGAGTTATGGCCATTTTAAAATATGTAATAATTCATGCCTAAGAAAGTGATCACAAATAATAGCTAAAAACGCCGAAAACTCAATATTTAAGGAGTTATGGCCATTTTAAAATATGTGATAATTAATGCCTAAGAAAGTGATCACAAATAATAGCTAAAAACGCCGAAAACTCAATATTTAAGGAGTTATGGCCATTTTAAAATATGTAATAATTCATGCCTAAGAAAGTGATCACAAATAATAGCTAAAAACACCGAAAACTCAATATTTAAGGAGTTATGGCCATTTTAAAATATGAACTAATTCATGCCTAAGAAAGTGATCACAAATAATAGCTAGAAACGCCGAAAACTCAATATTTAAGGAGTTATGGCCATTTTAAAATATGAACTAATTCATGCCTAAGAAAGTGATCACAAATAATAGCTAAAAACGCCGAAAACTCAATATTTAAGGAGTTATGGCCATTTTAAAATATGTAATAATTCATCCCTAGAAAGTTATCACAAATAATAGCTAAAAACACCG